TTTAGTTTTTTGTCATCTCCAAATAGCTCAAGCTTATCCAACTTTCTATCATAAATTTCCTAGTTTAAGACCGAACGTATTCACATTCATTGATATAAATACTCAAATATATAGACAACTACATTTATTGCAGTCACTAGGTTTCCCTTGAATTCATTACATGTTTTGAATCATGTTTTATAAAATTCCACAACAATTGTCATGAGAGGATAACAAACGAGAACACTGAAGATTAAAGTAGACGAATACAAGTTTTTCTTTGGTTTTGTTAGCTCCAAACTCAAATCCCTAGCACTTTTTTTTCGTTAAACCCATAGTCATTTAGTTTTTAGCGTATGATATGTCTAGTGCACAATGCAAAGTGAAATTTTGCTTTCACGAATATTTTCATCTAGATGGAAATGTTTCACGAATATATAATTCCAATTAGCTAATAAATTAAGAACAAAAGTAAGTTTAGATAGAGAGGGTGGTCCTAGGTTTAAACTATATGATGAAAAATAAGTACATATTTATATTTTTAAATTACATATATAATTTCATTATAGGTACTTTCCTCCTAACTATCTTTAGCCCCTCATAGTCAAAAAGAGATACATTTCAAAGATTCACTTATTCATCTCTCAAATTCTTCAATCTTCCCTACCCCTTTCCTACTTCTTTTCAGTGTTCACATTATATATGTGTCGATTTCAATTTACTATTCCACCTTCACTTTCTACCAGCCCCATCATGGCAAATCCTATACCAAATTCAGAATATAACTTTTCAAAATTGTAACTTTCTCACTATCCTCCTCTGCTTTCATAATTTAAAGTTGCAATCTAGTTTGGAGTATATGTTCAGTATCAAGTTGGAAAACAAAACTAAAGTTTTGACTGAAATAATTATTTACTCTCGTTTCAGTTAATATTTCAACACTCAAGTGAAAATATTTTTTAGTCTTTTTACGCTATATACTGTTTGTTTGTTTAGTGGTAAATAGACTCACTTATATATTATCTCTCATGTATTTGAGGAGGAAAACATATTAAGTTACACTATTTTTAACTTTTTGGGATTTTATTATTTTATTTTTTCTATCATTTACTCTCAGTTACTCTATTTAATTTACTCTTAGACTAATGTAATTTACTCTGAATTATTTTAGTGTTTACAATCACACCTTAAATTTTGTTCAAACAGTTAATTTGTCTGATCTTGAACATAAGTTGCATATGGTTTTATTCTAAGAGGATACAAAATAAAATAGTCTGAGCGTAAAAGTGTTATATACATGTGGCCTTCTATATCTATATAAATAGATTCAAATCCATTTGTGCTAATGAATAATCTAGTTATTTAGACTATAGAAAAACGCAAGAACAAAAAGAGTGGGAAGTGAATAAAAGATGACTTACCAGAAATAGTCATCTTTTCTTTCAGAATTAAATAGTGATCTTTAAATCATGGAAAGGAAGAAAATAATTACTTTAGAAGGTATGATTGGCAATATGCAACTTTTGGAGGTATGCTTGAATCTATGAAAATATACTTTAGAAGATCTTAGATGGTTTAGCACATAGTTTTTGTTACTTTTCTTTTGTCACAGGAAGAAAGAAGGGGCAATTTGCCTAATATTCATAAGAGAATATGAAATTAAGAATATAGCCATAGGAGTTTGATTAGACATTTATCCACGCTTCTTGACGATATTAGCCTTTCACTCGCTTGCGAGTGACTATGAGGCGAGTGGAGTGGAATAAATCATCAAAACATAACATCGGTGTTGGGACAAGAAGGGGGATACGTGACAAAGTGGACTATACTTTTACTGAGGATAGTATACACCATATTTGGTAACATAAAATAAAATCTGAAGAAAACGTGATTCGTCTAACTGTAAATGGCACAGCGAACACAATATGGTTTCATATCCTGGAAAGACATTAACCAAACAAAGAGCACTGAGAAACATTTGGTGCTTAGTTCACTATACTATAGGGGATAGTATAGTAAATAATGTCCAATAGCTGAGAAAAGGAGGTCCGAATAAGAGGAGACATGATATTACGGAGGGAGTAGATTAGAGTATAATATAATATATGTTGGATAACATAGTGCCTGATGAAAAGGACAGTGTAGCATGTTAACTGAACCAAGTGTACAACATACTGAGAAACAAAAGACTATACTATAAGAGGGATAGTACAGCAAATAATGTACAACTTATAATATCTAACAAGATGATTGTCAGACAAAAGACTACATGAAATTAGAAACATAAGACTATACTATAGGAAGGATAGTACATCAAATAATGTACAGCTCATTATATCTCACAAGAGGAGTTTCAGAGGCTACATATATTACTATTTTTCTATTAAGGCAAGAAGTTATGACGCATGTGGGTAACTGGAATGAAAATGGGATGGTCAGTAAATCATAAGGATAATAAAACATGCTGAACAACTTGGACACGTTTGAATTAAAGAACAACCGACGTCAATTAGGATTATAGTGTAGATTGTACTATACAATACATTGGATAGTATAGGACATACTCAAAAGAAGAAAATATCATGTTAACCGAAAGATTTTGTAGTACGTGAAGAGCTAATTCCTGCCACGCATCAGACAGAGACTCTTTTATCACCTCCACCCATCTCAAGTTGAAGTAGTTGTTTATTCTCTTCCGGCTAGTTAGTTCAAATCCCGTCTCAAATAAGCGCTCCAGTAAGCCAAACTCCTCCATAATCTACAACAAAAAGTTAAACATTAACAACCGCACAATATTCGAGAAAGGCCAAAAACAAGTAACACGACAACAAACTTGCCAAATTGTTAGATATCTAACATCATATTGTCATGATAATATATCTATACTATAAGGTCTTTCCAATAGAATAGGCCAGCAATGGACTATATCAATGTCCGGTACACATGAAATTGATAGTAATATAGTAACGCAAGGCTCTGTCGGTCTATACTATACACATATACCTTTACACAACTGTATACACATGTACACTTGTTATTACATATAGTATCATGTATATACACATATATACATCCAACACATCTATTCTATACTAGTTTTGAAATAGTTTAGTTTCTGGAGGTTAGATATCTATACACATATGTACATGTTAACACACGAAACCAAGAGTAATCTACTAACGCAAGGCTCAAACGGCCATAGAAAAACAGTAACAACTGTACTATATTCGAGAAAAGAAAAAACAAGTAGGAGGACAACAAACTTGCCAAATTATGTGATATCTAACAACATTTTGTCATGTTAATATATCTATACTATAAACGCTTTCAAATAGTATAGGGCACCTATGTTGCATTGAGTACGGATACTATAAACGTTTTCAAATAGTAACTATACTATAAACGTTTTCCAATATTATCGGCCTCCTACTCTATACACCAACAATACTCACACCTTTTCATGTTAATATATTTATACTATAAACGTTTTAAAATAGTATATGCCACCTATGTTGCATAGAGTACCGATACTATAAATGTTTTTAAATAGTATCTATACTATAAACGTTTTCCAATATTATAGGCCACCTACTCTATACACATATATTCAACCAAAAATACACACTTTTTCATGTTAATATATCTACACTATAAACGTTTTCAAATAATATATGCCACCTATGTTGTATAAAGTACCAATACTATAAACGTTTTCAAATAGTATCTATACTATAAACGTTTTCCAATAGTATATGCCACCTACTCTATACACATATATACATGTTACCACATATACTACCATATGTACACATCTATACATGCAGCACATATATACTATAGTAGGTTTACAATATTTTAGTTCCTGGAGCATAGAAATCTATACACATCTTGACATGGTAACGCAAGGCTCAAACGGTCTATACCATTAACACATAGTATAGTCTTATACTGCTAACATGACACCAGGTACATGTACTAACCAAAGTCTACTCCTACACTAACACAAATCTCCATCGTTCTATACTACGGACACATATCTATAGACACATCATTATCCTCAACAGATCAGCTGTTCTGAAAACCACAAATCGCGAAACCCAGATTTGAAATACATTCCGGGAACACACTAAACTAATAATCAACCAATAACGCAATTCATCACCAACAATACTCACACATTTTTCATAATAAGTTATATCAAACGGCATGCAACTGAGTCTTGCGGGAGAGAAAAAAAATTAAAACCATTACTGGCACACCGTTCGAACACAATCGCTGGAATTGCGCCGGAGGGAGTAAGATCAACTAATTAAGAAAGGTACTTACAAGGTTTACCTTTCAGATGTCTCAGACGAAGCGTAATCCTACTCTCCCTTTCCAAAATACCGTCACCTCCGTTTCACTCGGTTTGAGAAACCAATTGACGGCCACACTCTTCTCCGCTGTGGTATATTCACCGTAGGAATCGTTCACAGAAGGATTAACTCTCAACCGCGATTTAGAAAAGGGATAATAGTTTCGTAGGGTTACGGAACAGAGAGAATCCGACGGTCACGCGCATAAATGGGGTATAATGGGAATTATATGCAACATTATGTATCATAGCATACCCATGGGCTTACTATGGCTAGAGAGTTGTTTTTTCTCAATATAATGGTTATTGGCCCAAATTTCCCAAAAAAGAATGTGCCGGTTTTGATGATCAAAGAGCATGGAGAGTAGGGACCGCTTAAAGGGTCCTTTGTAGTAGTGTCTTGGGATCAAATTAAGAGACATATGATATAGATCTCATCTCAAATTAATAGCAAAACACTTCAAGCAGGCTATGGCCCGATATAGAAAACTGTGTATGGGCTAAATGTTTCTTCACATCAGAGGAATCCAAGACCCAAGAGAAAATAACTATTGTGGTTTCAACCTTTTACTGGTGAAGAAAGCTTTGCTTCATTCATTAGTCCACATGTGATGTGGATAATAATGAGACGATGACTCACATAAATTTCGACCATGTCTCGTAACGATTACACATGGACAAAACAGAACAAGTAAAGGAGTTGTATTATTGCAACGGAGTATTTATTAACCAATTTACAAGTCTCTAGAGTCTAGACAAAGCCACGTTCATAGCCTACTCATGTCATGTCTCTCCTCTATAATGCGCCTAACCAGAGCCTAGCTATTTCTTGAACATTAAGATAAAACTATTTAAACTTTGGTAGAGACAAAGTGCACTCACGTTGAGGATACCAGCCATGTTAGAGAAATCAAAAGCATTGAAATTCAAGCATGGAGGGTTAGCTGAAGAAGGTGAACCCCCAGAGGCTATTGATTCCGGTTTAGGAGTCTTGCTCTCCTCTGTTGAACCGGTTTTCTCATCTTAAAGAATAACATAAACAAGATCACCAAATCTGAGTAGAGAAGATTCATTTCGAGATTGGAGAAATAAACACCAAATCAGATTGCATACCTGAAGGAGACAGATTCTTGTCTGGATTGGAAGCCATTATGAGTAAAGAGTAAAACCAGAAGAGAAGACAACGTTGGTGGTGGCAAACGCACAAGCAAAGACCAAGACAACAGATAAATCAAAATATTTATTTAATTTAAATAAAATAGTAAAACACGTCTCTCTTCTAAATTATATAGAAAAAATGACTAAAATAGACCTAAATTTTTTTTATCACAAAGATAGACCTTAACAAATAAAATGAACAAAATATTAAATCTATATTTATACCTCTTGGGTTAACTAATCCTAAATTTTTTGTTTAGAGTTGAGGAATGGGGTTTTAGAGATAGGGTTTCGAATTTAAAAAAATTAAAAAAACTTAAAATTTTCAAAATAAAAAGTGTTATTTTGGTCATTTTAATTTTTGAAGTTTATTTTTGTGATAAAAACTTAAAAGATGGCTATTTGAGAGATTTTCCCAATTATATATATACAATTATATATATATAATTTTCTGACAACTGAAAAGGGATTTGATGGATTCTAATTTCTTAAAGTAGACAAAAGAAAGAATATATGGAAGGAAATTACGGAGATACAGAGAAAGAGATTCATGTTGTATATCATTTACCAAAATAAAGCTGAAGCCAAACTTAAAAAAATAAATTAAAGAAGAGATTAATCTTTTGTGGTGAAGGCATGATCTGGTGATATGATGATGGTATTTCTTTCTTCAAATGAAAAAAGAAATGCGATGGTAAATTTTTATTTCAAGTTATACTGTTTTATTTCGAAGGTAATATCAATAGCCGATGGTAAATTTTTATTTCAAGTTATACTGTTTTATTTCGAAGGTAATATCAATAGCCGATTTAAGAGAATCTTCAATGCAGGTTTTTAGGTTGGGATTCTTAGCTATTTATAAGAAACCGTCTCTTAACTTTTTTCTCAAGCCATTCAATAGAATGGATTTCACATGATAGGCACTTGTACTATCTTTTCAATGTTTAAATATGAAAATTGTTACAACTTTATAGATGAAATCTATTTTGTGTTCCAAGCAAAAGAACTGGGGAAAAACTTAATACTCCTTTGAAGAGAAAGTTGTAGAGCACATTAATCAATAACAAAAGTTTAAACAATAGAATGCAAGAAAACATCATTATCATTTCATTATAGGTTAAATAGCCAAACACGCCCTCAAGATAGATACAACGTCGTACGTACAATGCCACATAACGAAGTTAAATCGATAAATAAAACTCCACCATGATTACACAATTATATAAATAACAACAGATCAGCACGATGTTCCACATGAAGGACTTGGAGAAGTAACATCAGGAAGGCTGGGATCGATATTGACGTGTATGATATATTGATTACGTTTAGTACAATAATAGAGGCATGTGTCGAAGCAAAGTTTATATTTGTGATACCTCGGCAAACATCTACTCCTCATGCATTGTTTGATGCATGAATCTCTATCCAGTGTGCTTTGCGTTAGCGTTATCTTCCCATCAGATTTTTCTGAAATGAAATCGTCACTGTTTGAGCACCAAGCCGTACTCATTAGCATAGCCACCACTATGATCAATATGATCATCTTCTCGTTAACTCCTTTTCCATCCATTTTCTCCTTTGAACAAATGATTTTTAACGTTTGTTTTTAATTGATTGTGATTTGCTTTGGTGAGGAATTTGAGAATTTATTTATGTTTATTTTAACTAATTTATGAACTGAATTTTGGTGTATGAATAACAAATGTCTAAGTATAGTTTTGTTCTTTCTGGTTTTATAATTTCATTGCTGTCTTTGACTTATTGTTTTATTGTTTATTTTCTTGAATTATACAGAGTGAAACATAGGTGACGATTATTGTTTTTTTTTTTTTCAATATTGACTTATTGTTGATTAATATAATGTTTATTGGTTGTTTATGTACTGGTGTAATGTGTATGATTTGAACCACAATGAGTTGTATTCAATAACAATAAACCGCAAGCAGTTAAATCAAAAAATTGAACTAATGATTGATTTGAAAACATTGCTTAGGAAGCACGGAACTTGTGTTACCAATCATTGATTTTGAATTTACCCTATAGACTACATGAAATACAATATCACAATTGTCAAAGAAGTTTTTTTCTCTGTACTAGAAAAATGGTAACATTTTCTTAGGCAGCTCAAAATATTAGAGATCCTTCTTTGCTATCATCGTAGCTTCCCAGCTGAATGCAAATATACTGAAACAGAGACGACACTGCAAAAGTCCAAAACACAGTAAACATCAGTGGTACATTGATGGATTGTAATGGCAAAAGGAAGATGAAGTTATAACTTACGTTGAACCAAGGAAGAAAGCTAGTGAAAGATGAAAATTGAATAGGAATACAGAGACAACTGCTGTGAGAAGCATTGCTACTGATGTGGAATAAACCTAACATACAGATTGATAAATTAGGTTAAACACCAAGTTTCAAAAAGTGAATACTACTTATGCTTGTGTGCAAGTAGTTTACTACCTTTACAATGTTGTCTGCATATTTCATCACCATTGACACAGCAATACCACTGCAAAACAAACAGGAGAATAATGTTTTAATGTGTCTTTAGCTACACATAAACTGAGATTAGAGTTAAAGAGAAGAATCTGGCCTCAAAAACAGATTATACCTGAGAGCATGGTTAAGAATCATGAGTACTGTGATAAATGAGTAACCATGGAAGAATCCCCTGAAAATAGATGCAACATAAAGGCAAAATGATTCAGCCAGCCAAAAATAATGAGCTCTTTGACACCAAACAGTATAGATAAGTGGCAATTTCTTGAGGGAAATGGTTTGTGAATATGGACACAAATAAAAGTAGATGAGTTTTTGGATTTTTACTTATTTGCAACCGCATCAAAATCTTGGATCACAATAGCAACAGCATTGAAAGCCATCCCAAAGACGTATAGCCAGAAGTTCTGTACATTTATATTCCTTGATGGCCTCTTTTTTATAATAGCCTGCCAAAATAGAAAGCATAATAACCTTTACAAATCAAAGTCATCAATAAACTGATCATATTCATGACTAGCTTTGAGTCATTTAAGTGAAATAGTCCTAATAAGCTCACCTCTGTGTACACTCCAGCGAAACCACTTAAAAGAGCCATAACCTAGAAAAAAACAATAAACAATTACATAAATTGGTGTGTAAGTGGAAGAAGCTTCACCACTCTCTTAGTAGGTATTAGCATGATAAGTAATAACAGCTTACAATTGCCATAATCCATCCGGGAAGAGATGTCTGAAGTACACGATCAGAACTGGAAAATCAATATCCAATATGAGACTATGTTATACAAAATCAGCAGAGGCTAATGAAAACTTTGTTGATAGAATCTAATAAAGAAGTGTCTAAGAGCCAAATTTACTTTGAATTCAACTGAGCAGTGGTGCATCCACAACACAATAGGATGAATCCTGCCCACTGAATCTCACTCAACCTGTTAGACAAGAAAGTAAACAAACTGAATAAAAACAGATCCTAAACATAACTTAAAATCAAGAATAAAAAAAGTTGAATATACATAACAGCTTTACTTTTTCTTCAGTATGATTCTGTACAAGACACCAGTACTAATAATGTTCAAATTCTTCAATATCTGATACCCTGGAGCGTCAACGTACGCAAAAATATAATACTGCCACATTAAAAAAAAAAAAGTAGTAGAAACTTTAGTAACACTGAAAAAAAATATGATACAATACAATCAAATCATTGACCAAAAGCCAAACCTGTAAGAGATTCTTGAAAAGATACAAAGCAGCAGGAACAGGAAAGACTTTAACTTCATCATACGTTGTGTTTAACCTATTATCCTTAGTAACACCTTCTTTCCTCCATATCCTCGTCAACGCAAGTAGAGACAACGCACACTTCAGTGTCTCAACCTGATAAATAACCAAACAATTCACTAAAAAGTTGCTTTCGCTTTGTTACCATATACAATATACATTATAACCACGTGTCTGTGGTCGGGTGGTAGCATGGCGTTCCATAGATCCTACAGAACCTGAGTTCGAATTCGCTTACACTCAGATTATCACAGCGCGTGACCACCGGGGCTTTCACATTTTTTTTTTACAATATACATTAAATTTTTACTAACCAAGAAGTTGGCGGTGGTGACACTGTACTCATACTTGCCAGCTCGTTTAGACCAGACAATGAGAATGGATTGTGAGCTCGTGAGAATAGTCAGCGCACATGTTACTACACCTCTGCATCTCAAACACAATACATTTAAAAAAAAAAACAAAAAGAGAATATTTTTTTTTAATTAAATAAAGGAACTTACTTTCGTTTCCAGTTTGTTATTTCGTTCGTTCCAGGACCAATCATAGCAATGTTACTCGAAGTAACTAAAACAAAATTGAAATACTAATGAGGAAACTATAGAAACAGAGAGTGATGATGAGAAGGAAATAAAGAAAGTTACTAACCGGTGTGAGACTTTCCCTTTAGATTCTCGAGATCAGAAGTGACGTCATGATCATCATCATCCTCGTCTTTGATTTTACGGTATTCCATTGTTCAGAAGCTTCTCTCTCTCAGATCTCTGTGATCTCTCTTTCACTTTCAGTCTGTGTTCCGACCACACTTGAGTTAAATTAAATGTAATGAATAATAAAATAATAAATAAAAAAAGCGCGTAAAACTTTGTTATTGGGCTTTAAAATTAATGGCCTTAAACAATTAATAGGCCCCAAAATAATTAATAAGCCCAAGTCCACTAAATGGTGGATTAGACCTGGGCATTTGGATATTCGGTTCAATTCCGGATAGGAACCATTCTGTTCCGGGTATATCGAATAAATCATTCTTATACCCAATAGATACTTATGGGATTTTGGTTCGGTTCTAGTTCGGTTTCGGTTCGGTTCCGGGTACCCATTTAATATATAAATCAAATATATATATATACAGAATATATTAGTTAATATGTTAATTTAAATGGTTTAGTGTTTACACGCTTACATATTAGTCAATCCAACAAGAGTTCAAATCAATAAAATGTTAATTTTATAAATATTTATCATATTTTAATATAGAAATACCATATATATTTATAATATAACAAAATAAATAAAACATAACGAGGTCTGGTGGTAAAAATATACTTACTCTTTGTATCTAACATGAGTTCAAGTGGGCTTGATGTCATTTTATCTTATTTTTTAAAAATATAACTTGTTTTTTTGGATATTCGAGTACCCGTTCGGTTCTCGGTTCGATTCCGATTCCGGTTCGGCTTTTCGGGTATAGAAATATATGAACCATTCGGATATTTAAGAATTTTGGTCCGGTTTCTATTTCGGATATTTCGGTTCGGTTCCGGTTCAGTTTTTCGGTTCGGTTCCGGTTCGGTTTTTCGGTTCCGGTTTTTTGCCCAGGCCTAGTGGGTATCTTCGGACAAAACATTGTGTAGTTGTAATTGGCTGGACACAAAAGTAAATGGACCCCACACAGAGAGAAAGCGAAATAAAAATGTACAGAGCTACTTCTCTCAACATTTCATTTCTATTTCATCTCTCAAAGCTCTTTGGCTCTCTCTCAAAAAAAAGAAAAAAAGAAGAAGCAAATGAGTTCGATGATGGAAACTCTCCAGATTCGTAAACAGACTTCTCTCCCCGTTTCTCAACTCCCTAATACCGATGATAATAAGCCTGGTATCATCCGACGTGGCATTGCTTCACTCTCACTCAACCTCTCAAACAAACCAAAGGAGATATCAGTTTCTGCTATAAGAGACCAAGCAAGAAACTGGTGGGAATGGAGTTGTTCATGGATCCTTTCCAAGAAGCTAGATCAATCCGCTCATCACATATCAGAGGAAGTTTAAAATGCATATTGCTTTTGTATCAATCAATTGGATTAATAGTCAACCATAAGGGGGATGTGTTTTGGGAAAATTTGATGTTGTATTTTGTTGCTATAGTTAATAATGATTTATTTTGATTTGTGTTACATCTTGTGCAGTTGTATTTTATTTTATTTTTTTATTTAGTAACCATGAAACTATATAGAAATATGTTATTCTGTTTCAGTTAATTTATACGCGCCAATTTTTTTAGCCACAGTTGACAAATAATAGGTTCAATAATTTTTTATATTACGAATAAAACTCTAATAACACATCAAAACCCTGACGATCCACGACCGACACAAGTTTTAATGAAACTTCGATTGCATGCATGGTATAACTGAGATTTGTCATGTGTGGGTGTGGCCTGTAGCCGACATAACATTTTGTCGGTGGATGCAATATCGTCGGTGGCGTATTGTTATGTTATAAACTATTTACTAGATTATGGTTATACGATGTTTGCTAAAATTTGACTTGAGTAACAATGAACGGTTGGGTAAAAATATGCTGATTGAAAATTGACAAAAGAAAGACACCAAACACTAAATTTGATTAAATAAATTATGTTAAAGGTTGCGGCGTTACAAAGCATGTGAATATATTTGTATGACTTATAAAATGGTTTTTGGTAAATAATGTCTCAAAATACAGATTGGTGCCAATGTATGATTTGTTGTGAACAGCCTTGAGTTTTTGGTTTTATTTGAGACTTTTAAAAAGGACATATACTTAGAAAAAGCAACTCTGATTACATGATTGAGACTTGCTAGCTCATCAAATACCATTGGTGTTTACATACCTTATTATTTATTTTAATTCAAATTTTAATTGTGTAGTCTGAGATGGATGAAAGGTCATGATCTTCTAGAAACAAGAAGAGCTTTTTCAAAGTAAAAAAAGAAAATGCTTAGAAAACACTAACATTGATGACAATATTTCGTTTTTTGTTGTTGTAAAACATTGAACAAAGGAAGAAGATAAACAAAGCTTCACTAACTTCAACAATGGCCACAACAAACAAACAACCACAAAGAGGTTAAATGAAAAAACCTCCAAGGCAACTTCTATGTGGTTAGCATTGAAGCTTGTTGAATCCTCATGAAGTCACAAACCACCAAAAAAAATGCAACAATCTCTAAGCATCTCTCATGCTAATGTTTAAACTGTTTCTCATTGTCCTTCTTCCAACACCAGCATTTCCCTTTTGCATCATCTCCACAAACTCACCATAATCAATCTTCCCATCCTACAACAATCAAAAACTTTAATCATCTACCGTCTCTAAATTAGTCTAAAGAGGAACAGAGTCATGATAACAAGCTTACATTGTTTTGATCAACTTCTTTGATGATATCTTCAAGAAAAACATCAGTCATACTATGTTCAACACACGCTTGTTGCAGCTCGTCTATTGTTATGTAACCACTTCCATCTTTGTCAAAGTACTGAAACGCAGCTACAAGATGTTCTTCCCTCTCCAGCTTGTTGAGATGAATGGTCGCTGCAATGAACTCACTGTAATCTATTGTCCCACTATTGTCCACATCAGCCTGTCAACACAAGACCTCTCCATGTTAGAACATACACCAACACTACATTCAAATTAAGATTAGATTTGTACCGCTTCCATAAGATCATGAATCTCTGTGTCTTTCAAAGTAGATCCATATTTCCTCAGACCAGCTTTGAGTTCATCAAATGTGATTGCACCACTGTTATCAGTATCCATTGCTTGAAACATTTCTCTTAAACCAGCAATCTCTTCTTCAGATAGACTCTCAGCTATAACCTGATGACAACACAAACAGTTTTAGGAGAAGTGATGCATAGACAATATATAAGCACAACACAAACACACACTCACCTTCAAAGCCATCTTCTTTAGTTTATTCATTGCAGAGAACTGCTTGAGTCTAGACAAAACAGCAGGATCAAGTGGTCTATCTGGTGCAACACCATTCTCACAGATCCATGGATGACCTGCAAAACAAAGTAGATGTAAGTAAGCCTAGTGCTTGTTGCTCAAAAGTAATCATTTCTATTTGGAATACATACGCAAGACTTCATGAGCTGTCAAGCGTTCTGCAGGCTTGGAGGATAACATTCTCCGGATCAAGTCTTTAGCACTGTCTGATATCACAGGCCAAGGGTCTGAATCAAAGTCAATGTATCCCTTCAACACAGCATCAAATATCCCTTGCTGAGTTTCTGTTTCCCCAACAAAAAATAACACAAAAACAAAACACATTTTCAGGTGACTCAAACTCTCTAAAGGACTACTAAACAGTCTTTACATGAACAACACTTACCTGCCCAAAACGGTGGGACTCCACTTAGCAATATATACAGTATAACACCAGCAGTCCATACATCAGCTTCAGGCCCATAACGTTTGAGTAAAACCTCAGGAGCAACATAATATGGACTCCCAACAACATCAGTGAATATTTGACCTGAAACTCACAAGAACATCAAAACCAAACCAAATCAATGTTCAAGAAATTAAACATTTTATAAGAGATTATTGATTAGGCAGACGTCTAAACCGATTTTTTTTTTTTAAATTGTTTTGTTTAGACCCTATCTACTGCCTAGACCGGTTTTTAGAACACTATTAAGCAAACATTAACTAAAAGCTTTCAGACATTTTTTTTACCTGGTTTAAAAAACACAGAGAGACCAAAGTCAATAGCCTTGAGAGAAAAGTCATCATCCTTATTAACCAACAAGAAATTCTCAGGCTTCAAATCTCTATGCATAACACCAAGAGAATGACAAGTTTCAACAACTCCAACAATGATCTTAGTCAACTCAGCAGCTTTCCTCTCACTATAATGCCCTCTCTGAATAATCCTATCAAACAACTCACCACCAGCACAAAGCTCCATCACAATGTGAACATACAAAGAGTCCTCATAAGCTCCTTTGATCGTCACAATGTTACCATGACCAGCTAAATGGTGCATGATCTGAATCTCCCTTCTAACATCCTCAACATCTTCTTTAGAGATCAGCTTCCTCTTGGATATTGACTTGCAAGCGTAGTCAACACCAGTGGCGTGGTCTGTGCAGAGATACGTTGTACCGAACTGGCCTTGTCCTAGCTTACGGCTGAGAGTGTAGAGGTCACGGATGTTTGGGGTCTTGTGACCGAGAACGTAGTAAGCTTGGTTGTCTATGTTGCGTCTCATGATTGGTTCTTTTAAAGGGATCACAAGAGGTGAGTTTTTGTTGTCTTTCTTGGGAGAGATGTTGTCTGAGTTGTTGGTGGAGGAACTAGAGCGGTTTGATGAGACGTTTGTAGAGGTTTTGGAGTTATCTTCAAGCTTACTACTACTACTGTTATTGCCCAAGAAGAGTTTGTCCTTGAAAGATCCACGGCATGAGTTGCCCATGAAACAATGGTTAATAACTTTCACTGTTTGTTCTTCATCCAAACTAGCTGTTCCATAGTTAAAATGAGAACACAAGTCAAGAAACAGAGCAAACCCAAGAAGCTAAAACTCAAGAAAGTAAAATATCCTTTAAACAATCAAAACTCATCTAAGAAGCTTGTCATAGAGTAGAGTAACGAACTTTAATACTCACAAGACAAAACCCACAACAGATCAACCATTAGGAAGAAAAAATAAAAAGAACCAAAAAGACAAACCACACGAACTAACTGAAAAGTCAAATCTAAGTTGACTTAAGTTCTTACAAAGGAATCAGAAACAGAGGAATGAAATAAAAGCAAAAGAGGATCTTAGTTACAACTTACCAGTAATCAGAGAACGGTGGTGACACAGAAGACTCAACTGAGAATGAATCTGATATAAAAGGAAAAAGAGAGAAAGTCACAAGAAGAGGAAAGCTACATAATATTTAATGTTATTTCCACCAAGGAAAGCTGCTCTATGTTTAATACTATATAGTATAACATGTTTTATTCGAATCTTATAAATAAAAAATATAGTTTTTTGGAGTTCATGTTTGGTGAGAGACTGGTCGGATAATTAGATTCGTTGGATGAGAATGTGTTTTGTTTATTTGACGGCGACGATTGTGAGAAGAAAGTTCTTGCTCAACAGCTACTTTTCTTTGACCATAACCGGTTTCCTCTCACCTTCTTCATCTTTGGCATTTACATTATTAAACCACTTCCTCTTTTATACTACTAGTCTTTTGTTAGATGAGAACATTCTATTTTTGACAAGTCTTGAATATTCGGATTATAAGTTGATGACCATTGACACAGCCAAGTCTTTGTTTATGGTCACCACACTGAGTCCACGTCAAGAAGTTTTGATTTATCCAGACCGGTTCAAGTCAATGGGATTAGTTGGTTAAGAGAGGTTGTGTGTGTTGAATATGGACGTGACATCTGCTGCTTCTCTTTTAGTTACTTGAACCATATCTCTTTTCTGGGAAGGAGAAGCTATGTTAACCTTTTAGTGGTTAACCATGGAAACTATGTAGTGATCCTAGAATAATATTTAGGAAAATCATGCGTTTCAGAGCCGGCCCTTGGGCCAAGCCTATGAAGCATGAGCTTCTGGCCGACAGATCTATGTTTAAATTTCGGCCACAATTTTTGAATTGGCATTATAGTCTAGTGATATAACCTTGTGTTCATGATTGAACTAAATCGTTATGTTCCTCAACCAAAGTTAAATGCACGATTGGCATAACAGAAAAAGAAGGAATAGTTAAAAGCAGCTGAACCATGAACGGGGAACTGTAAATGTGAAATGTGAGTTGTGATTGTAAGATGTAAACATGAGTTGAAAAATAAAATTTATTTTCTAATTTTACTAATATTAAATAGCTAGTCTAACTAGAAAGCAGCTGAAACAGGATCATAATCAAATAAATGAGCAAGATTATAATTAAGCAAGTAACTGATTAATAGAATGTTCAATGATTGATGTCAAAAACACCAAAAAAACATCGAGGGTGATTGTTAATTGCTCTCGTTGTTGTAGGCAGTCACAACATAAAAACAAGGCTATAGAAAATTTAACCATGTTTGTGAGTTTTCTATTTATGTAATTAATGTTTACTAATCATATTTTCCATTTTAAAATCAAATAAAAAAGAATACAGTCATATCAAAATTATACAACTTAAATTCTACAACAAAAAAATTAAAAGCTACCACATCAACAAATCAAGCCCATAATAAAGCAAATATATATCACAAATAACATGGACGTTGAACAATGGATTATCAATATCAAGAAAGAAGCATAATCAAAAAATTAAATATATCAATTTATCAAAAAGGAGAAAGAGGCGGTAAATGACAATAATATCATGGATAGTTGAACAATGATTATCACAAATAATATGGAAAGTTGAGCAATATTATCAAAATTTAGAAAGAAGCACAATCAAACAACTAAATGAAGATTTCATGGAATATAAATGGGAAAAGATGAAATAAATGACAATGATATATATCATGGAAAGTATCTAGTTAGAACGATTTGTAACTAAATAACTAAACTAACTATGAAAACTAGATTCCAAATGATACCAAATAAAGATCTTTCAATTTAAAAATGAAAGATCTTTCAATCTAAAAATGACAATGATTTAGTGAAAATTACACTAGATTCATAAAATGAAAACGATTTAATGAACACTAACTGATATAAAAAAAATGAGAAAGAATCATAATCAGAGAATTAAATGAGAACAATTTCATGAAAAGTACATAAATGATATCAAAAAATCATAATGAAGGAAGTAAATGAAAATGATTATGGAAAGTAACTAAGTCAATAATGAGAACACTCTGTATGTCCATTTTGTTTGGTATTTTCAAATTTCTCTGACCAAAATTCATGACATAAATTTTTTTTGTGCAAACCAAAATATATATATATAGAGAGAGAGAGAGAGAGAGAGAGAGAGAGAGAGAGAGAGAGAGAGAGAGAGAGAGAGAGAGAGAGAGAGAGAGAGAGAGGTGAAAATTAAAGTTTGACAAAATTTCAAATCAGTATCATGATATACAACCCAAAGAATGGTGAATTCTCTTGAGAGACTAATAAATGCAGTGAAGATTAATGATGAATAAATACTATTTTAGAAGATTTTTCAATTGGAATGAATAATGGTTGATTTAGAATGTTGAGTTATGTCACTTCTAAAATTGCTAACTAAAACATTAATGTAAAAATGATGGTTTAGAAGCAGAACATAATTTTCTCTTTCTGTTTTTGTTTTTACTTGTCATTTAGTAACTGAATATTATGCTATTAGTCAACAACGATTACTTATTAAACTAATAGTACTTTCAGTAACACAAATTTATTGTTTTGATAATTCAATGTTTTTAATTTCTAGTCCAATTTTTTTTTTAAAAAAATTTACAAGTAAATCAATGTTTCACTTATTTTTGTATTTATGCATAGCTGCATCCAACACTGATATATGATTAATATGAAAGTGATCACTGAGTTTGGCGGTATATGGAATTTAAATAAATTACGCATTAAAAAATTAGAAATGATGTCTATGTACCATGATAATAACTTTAGCATACATATATATAAATTTAGAGAGTTATTAGGTATTTTTAAACAACACTAAAGATGATAAATGTTATAAACAACATTTATCAGAAAATTTAACCTTTTCGTAGGGGTTAACCCACAATTTTCAATGTAAATTAGAAAACATTGGAGTTTTGCTTTAATGCATAAATGCATCATGCACTGACGTAGTATGAAAATTAAAGAGGTTTAAGATCTTAGGTGTTCATGTTTCTCTAAAAAATAGAGATTTTATAAAAGTTAGTCCACTAATTAGGAAGTATGTGAAGTTAAAAGAAAAATACTCGTTGGAAAATTAGAAACGATACCATGTGCCATGAAAATAAGTTTTACATATATTAATAAAAATTTATAATGTGATTAGGTAATTTTTAATTGAGATGAAAGAGCATAAACTTCAGGATATAGCATTTACCGGTAAAATTGATCTTTTGTAGGGGTTAACCCACATATTTCAAAATAAATTAGAAAATACATTACTTTCTTTTATGCATAGATGCATCCATCACATATATATGATGAAGATCAATGATGCCCGACACCTTTCTTATCTCAATTATTTTAGAATATAGAGATTTCATAAGGTTTAGTTCTTTGATTTACTTGGTATAAGAAGTTTTTTAAAATTACTCGTTGGAAAATTATAACTGATGTCCATGTAAAATGAAATTAACTTTTAGATACATTCATATAAGTTTTTAATGTGGTTAAATCTTTTAAACAACACTAAAGATGCTAAACTTAAGTAGAAATAGCTTTTTCAAAAAGATTCGATCTTTTTATAGGGGTTAACTCACATATTTTGAGAAAAATAAGAAAAAATGAAAATTGTATTTTAATGCATATTTGCATCATGCATTGACATAGTATGAACGTTAAAAGGTTTGAGACCTTAGTTGTTCATGTTTCTCCAGAAAATTGAATTTTTTAATAGGGGTTTTTTCCACTGATTATATGGTATATGAAATTTAAATAAATTACCTCCTTGAAAATTAGAAATGATGTACATGTACCATGAAAATAGTTTTAACATACATTAATACAAATTTAGAATGTGATTAGGTCATTTTTAATCACCAATAAAGAGCCTGAACTTTTGAATATAACATTTATTGAAAAACTCGATTTTTTATAGGGGTTAACCCACATATTTTGAGAAAAATGAGAAAAAAATGAAAATTTTAGTTTAATTCATATTTGAATTATTCTGTGACATAGTATGAAGGTTAAAGAGGTTTGAGACCTTATGTGTTCATGTTTCTCTCGGAAATAGAATTTTTTATTTATAGGGGGTTTGTCCACTGATTAAGTGGTATATGAAATTTAAATAAATTACCTAATGGAAATTTAAAAACGATGTTAATGTAGCATGAAAATATATTTAGCATACATTAAAATATATGTAGAATGTGATTAGATAATTTTTAATCAATAATAAAGAGCTTAAACTTTTGAATATAGCATTTATTTAAAAATTCAGCTTTTTCGTAGGGGTTAACTCACATATTTTGAGAAAAATAAGAAAAAATGAAAATTTTATTTTAATGCATATTTGCATCATGTAGTGACATAGTATGAAGGTTAAAGAGGTTTGAAACCTTAGTTGTTCATGTTTCTCCAGAAAATTGATTTTTTTATTGGGGGTTTTTCCATTGATTAAATGGTTTATGAAATTTAAATAAATTATCTGTTGGAAAATTAGAAATGATGTACTTGTACCATGAAAATAGTTTTAACATACATTGATACAAATTTAGAATGTGATTAGGTAATCATCAATAAAGAGCCTGAACTTTTGAATATAACATTTATTGAAAAACTTGATTTTTTCATAGGGGTTAACCCACATATTTTGAGCAAAAATGAAAATTTTGTTTAAATGCATATTCACATCATTCTTTGACATAGTATGAAGGTTAAAGAGGTTTGAGACCTTAGGTGTTTATGTTTCTCTCGAAAATAGAATTTTGTTTTTATAGGAGGTTTCTCCACTAATTAAGTGGTATATGAAATTTAAATAAATTACCTGATGGAAATTTAAAAACGAGGTTCATGTAACATGAAAATACATTTTAGCATACATTAAAATATATGTAGAATGTGATTAGATAATTTTTCATCAACAATAAAGAGCCTAAACTTCTGAATATAGCATTTATTTTAAAATTCGACTTTTTCGTAGGGGTTAACTCACATATTTTGAGAAAAATAAGAAAAAATTAAAATATTGATTTAATGCATATTTACATCATGCAGTGACATAGTATGAACGTTAAAGAGGTTTGAGACCTTATTTGTTCATGTTTCTCCAGAAAATTGCATTTTTATAGGGGGTTTTTCCACTG